TATCTTAATGGTAAAGCACAAAAAGTCCTCTGCAGTCTGAATGAGAATGAAGAGTTGGAAAATAGTTGCAGCAATTGAGAGGAAATATTTTCGTACTCCAGTCATATCGAAAACTCTTCAAAACTTATCAGAAAAGGCAGATGAGACCTTTGAGGAGTTCGCAGCAAGGCTGGAACTGTACTTCAACAAATGGATCGAGCTACGGGAAGATGCAGAGAAGGCTCCAGAACTGAAACGCTGTTGTCATCTGGTAATGATTGACCAATTTCTATCGACCATCAGGAGTGATGCATTCCGTCTGAAACTGCAAGAGCGCAAACTACAGACTGTGGGTGAAGTTGCCAGGGCAGCGGATGGATATTTGCTACATCAGCACTCGCATCTCACCCCTTCCCCATTTTCGACCAAAGCCACTTACCCAAGCCTTCACCTTCGAAGAATAAACCATCACTGCCAGTCAACAAACCAATGGCACCACACAGTAAACAGCACAGGCCAGGACAATTCACAAGTGTTTGTTATCGTTGCAAACTGATCGGACACAGGATACAAGAGTGTCCCCTCCCTTCCCCTCCTGTGCAGACAAACCCTCAGTCATGCCATCACCACCCCCAGCCAAGCCTGAGAGCAAACCGTCTTCTGCGAACAATGTGAACCTGGTGCACACGTCACCCCAGAGGAGTGGCCCATTCATGGACTTCCATGAATGCTTGTCTGACAGTCAATGGAGAGAGTGTCATGGCATTTGTTGATACTCGCTCTACCCTGTCCATGGTAACAGAGGAAACATACCAGGGACTTGCATTGCCTTCTGTGCCCCAAGAAACGACCCGAGAGACTCTGATCATGGTTGACGGGACCAAGCTCACCACGCTTGGCACTGTCACAGTGACCCTTTGTGTTGGTGGGGTTGACACTGCGATCCAACTCCATAGTGTGCATAATCTACCAGCCTCCATTCTTTGTGCATAAAGCACACCTCATTTGCGATTTCTGTGACAACTGCTATGTTGATCAGCGAGCTCCCCTACTGACTGCCACATCAAGTTTCCCTTCTGGGTATTCCGTCCCCGCTGCCTCCACCGGTTGAAACAGTTTCCATCGCCTATAACGACTTGCCTCAGCAATCAGCATCCAAGTTTGACAAGCCTGTTCTGACAATGAACAATGTCAGTTGGACACTCTTCTCAATGAGTTCCCCGATGTCTTCTATGACCAGCCTGGTCACACTGACGTTGCACAACACCACATCACGGTTGATGACGCTCTACCTCACCGTTCCACAATGTATCGCCTCTCACCAGACAGGAGGCGGGCTCTGAAGGAGGAACTTGACACACTTCTAAAGGCTGGGAAAGTGGTTACATCCAGCTCCCCTTGGGCAACACCTGTCTTGATGGTGCACAAGAAATCAGGCAAACACCATCTTTGCATAGACTATCACAAATTAAACAGTGCCACAAAGCTAGATGCATGCCTCATGCCTACAATTGATACTTTTCTCGACTCACTCCATGGTGCCCAGGTTTTCAGCTCATTAGACCTTTGCAGTGGGTACTGACAGATGGGCATGGCCCCCGAAGATGAAGAGAAAATGGCCTCCATTTGCGAGGAGGGCCTGTTCCACTTTACGGTCATGCCACTTGGTGTTGTAAACGACCCTATTAGTTTTCAGCGCCTTATGTCTGAGGTGCTAGGTGACCTTATTGGGCATACCTGTTTCGTCTACCTGGATATCCTCTGCTACTCTAATTCCGTGCAACAACACTTTGATGACCTTCGCGACATTCTGCTGGCCTGACAGTGAACTTTGAAAAGTGCAACTTTGCTCGCAAAGAAATTTTGTACTTTGGCTATATTGTCAGTTGTGATGGCCTACAGCCCAACCCAGACAAAGTCGCCACATTCCTCAACTATCCTTTATACCTCACATGCTGAAGAAACTTGAGCGTTTCCTCAGGATAGTAGGCAGGTACCATAAATTTATCCCAAACTTTGCAGACATTGAGGAACCTCTTCACCATTTGCGACTGAAGAGCACTCATGTGTTGGTCCCTGGCTTGCCAGGTAGCATTTGACTACCTCAGAAATGCATTGACCTCGAAACCAATCCTGGGTTACCCTGCGATGGATCAACCTTTCTCCATGCACACTGATGCAAGTGACATAGGTCTGGGGGCCGTCCTCCTCCAAAAGCAAGAGTCTGTCCACAAGACCCTCGCCTATGCCAGTAGAGCCCTCACCCTGGCTGAGTGCAATTACAGTACTACAGAGAAAGAATGCCTAGCGGTTGTCTGGGCCCTACCTCGAGGGCCAATGCTTCCATGTTGTGACAGACAATCAAGCGCTTTGCTGCCTGTTTCGTAAGGCCAACCAAACTGGCCGCCTAGCCTGTTGGGTCCTCAGGTTGTTGTGTTTTATGTGGTTTACCAACCTGGTTCACTGCACTATGTCCCTGATGTCCTATCCAGACTTGAAAAAACACTGAATGTTGTCGGAGTCATTCGAGCTGACCCAGATTTGCCGACCCCACGGGTGCCTGTTGACATGTCTCCTGATTATACTTTATACAGTGCTGGTGTGGACAGCCCTAGTCCAGCATCACTCTGTGCGGCTGCTGTATGCTTTGACCATCAAGACGAGTAGATCACTTGGATCCAGTGCGATGATTGTGATGCCTGGTTCCACCAGACTTGTCTACATTCGACTCAAGCGTGTTATCTCCATGGCGAAGTATTCTTGTCCAGTGTGTCGGAAACACCATTGGGAACATCGCAAAGAGCAATGGGCCAATTTCCATTCCTCTGATGAGACCCTGCCAACCACCTTCTCTCATGGCAAGCTGCAATCTGCACAAATCAAGGATGCCCGGCCACTTGCTGCCCTTGATTCAATTTCTTGCAGAGGGCAAGTTACCTGCATACAATCAAGCCGCCGATCACATCCGTAAACAAGCTACTCAATACCGAATCCATGATGGTATCCTACTCCATTATACCGAATCTTCCTTGTCTGTTGTAGTCCTATCATTCCTCCAGCGTAACGTCATCCTTGAGCTACATACAAACCGGCTGGTCTAATGCTTTCCACACATTCCCAGGCTCCTTCGGAAGTCATGGCTGTTGACTTGTTGGGTTCCCTCCCGAAAAGCTATAGGGGCTTTCCTAGGTGGACGGAAGTTTTTCCCTGAAAACGCTGCTGGATGCACAGTCGCATGTACCTTGGTTCGCCAGCTCTTCAGCCGTTACGGTGCCCCGCAGTCTTTTCTGGCGGACAATGGCCCTCAATTCACGTCCCGTGCCCTGGCCTGTGTCTGCTCTGATTGGGGCATTGAGCAGTTGTTCATATCGCCACACCACCTCCAGTCCAACAGGGTGGAGAGGGTGAACTGGACACTCAAGGCAATGATGCAAGCTTATGCCAGCTCGGACTATCACACGTGGCAGTTTGCATTCACATTGAACTTGGCCACACACGAGACAACAGGAGTGGAACCTTTGATGCTTATGTAAGGGCGAAACATGAGAGCCCCGCTCACCAACAAGTGGGACACTTAACATCATCATCATCTTTTGGTAACCTGCCTGCTGCAGATCAGGATGTTCGTGAGCAGGCTCTCCAACACACTAAGCAAGCTCGCTGCAAACGTGAACGCTACTACAAGAAGACCCGGTCCGTGCCCACCAAGAATGCTGGAGACCATGTGATGCTTCAAACCCACCCACGATCCAACGCAACCAAGTCCTTCAGTGCCAAGTTGGCACCACCCTGGCAAGGACCATTTGTGGTGAAGGAACGCCTTATCCCAGTTAATGTCAAGCTTGCCCACATCCACCCCCACACAAGGAACTGTTTGCTCATGTTGGACAGCTCAAACCAGTTCCTGGACCAGACACTCCACCACCATAAAGAGACTGTAGACTTTGAACCATTGTTTTGTACACTGAAGTTCAGTGGTGTTACCTTTCTAGCTGTGCTGAAAGGTCTTTTGTTTGATGTTGACCAGTTGCTACATTTAGAAATATTATTGATGTTACTTTTCCAGAGTTCTTAAACTTGACACTTTTAATTCTCCAAAATTTACGGATCTTGTGATTCTCATACAGCACTAACTGCATACCCGTTCTTACTGTCCACCTATACCTGCTCCACCCATGTAACTGAAATTTGAACACTACGATTCACATCATGATCATGTGTGTACTTTATGACAAAATGTGTTGCTTGATGCTAAAGTCGATAATTAACAAGATTCCTGTCTATGTTTCAGCAAGCTACATGAACCCTGGAAAGTTTTTCAAGAACATTAACAAAGGGGCAAACACTCTACATTAATACCACTGAGGGAACATTCAGGTTTTGTTTTCTCTTGTACGCAGAATAAGCAAAGTGTTGTGATGGCACAGTCAGTTTTTTCTTCTTTCACATGAAACACACAGTATGTCATTGGGGGGGTGTAGCAGGTTCCCTTAACGCCTTGCACATGTAGGCTTTTCCATAACATTATCTCATTATAATATTATAATTTGCCCATGGCTGGGAATGCCGTGATATTTCATTCCTAAGACGGCTGCGAGTCACTTTGGCTTTAATTCCCCGGCAGTCCAGGACAACCAGGTCAGTTCATCGTTAATAATTGTTAATAAACATTAATCGCGGCATATCAGTCATGTGTCAAAACCTGTTTGTAACAAAAGACTGTTACACCTTCAAGAATGTGTCCTCTGATCACCTTGCGTTTGTCACAAGAACAAACATCAATCCCCTGGCTGGTACATGTCTTTTCTTTGTAACATAATTTCTTTGGACCTACACACCCCATTTAAGACGATGTGTACATGCTTTCAGACAGGGATGTATTGTGGATGGAAACCTGAGTAGTTCCACAGCGATGTCATTATCAGTCATGTGGTACCAAATTATAGGTGAAATCTTAAGAGGCTGTTCTCCACAGGACTGCACATACAAATGTACAAACACAGTCATTAAATGCAAATTGATTAAAGGGATGGGTTATAAGCAAAACATCATCATGTTGCTACATTTATGTTTCATGACACAACCAAATAGTACACTCCTCACATACCAATATCTACTCCACTACATGTCTGATCACGCTTAATAGAAAATAAGTGTATAGGCAGAGATGTTATAGAAAAAACTTGTTTTGGGTAAGAGTAAAAAAGGTTAATGCAAGGTCACAGTTAAAATTTTATTGCAAAAAATTGCATCGATTTGAACACCAGCCAACACATTCCTAATCATCGTTTGTGGGATAAACGTGAAACCTAGAATGCACATAAATCTTTGTACTTGAATGTGCATAATTTGTGATGTCATTATGATGTCATCATAGAGCAAATTACGAGCAATTTATAGTGCAACTGGAAAGAAATATACAACTTTTGGATTGCAGGCAATGACACATTCATATATTGTAATCTGGAACGTAGATCTAACTTTGAGCAAAATTTGTCATTTCGAGACACACAGAAGCATGCTCTTTACTTCCTGGGGTACTGGAAGTGTGGTGATATGCGACTATATCACTTAAAAGTGGAAGAATGTTTGTACTGCCGACCAAATTATAATTTTGAGTAACATGCCATCACTATACAAGGGTTGAAGATGTCATCACATAAATCGTGCCATGCTTCCATGGACAGGAACCAGTTTCTGAAGTTCAACAATGATGTCATCATCCCAGAATTCACTATTGGGAGAATTTCAAGATGAACGGTTTCCCTCTTGACTTGAGTGCATCATGTAATACCCATCAGAGACAAGGGCAGATGGGGGGGCAAAGGCGGCCATCCCCCCCCCCAAAAATGAGGATTGTTTTTTTTAATCAATCAGAGTGAAGATATCTAAGTGGAGGCATTATTTAATGGAGGTTGTTTAAACTTGTTTCGTATGGACAGAGCCATTCTGTTCAGAAATTATTTCTGAGCAGCTGCTTCATAGTGACTGGTGTTACCAGTTAATGTAAAAGTGCACCCGTCATGCCTAGTCTGGATTGCGCTCATCATCTGTGTAAGTGTCTAAAACAGAGTTCAATGGTGTCCAAATAATGTTTGATCATCTCATTTTGTTCAATTAGTATTCATTTTCTTTTATGTTTCACATTTTGGGTGATCGCACTGGAAGTTAAATCATGAAACAAAACCAATTTTTCTTTGACTCATCCCTGCATAACTTAATGCAACATGCAGTAGATTTACACCGAGAGCATTGTCCAACACTTTGCCTCAGATGGGCTCACTGTTTGAGCTTTATTATTTAAAGCTATTGTTTTTCACTCACTCAAAGTTTAAGACCTTTCTTAATAACACATATAAATATGCATCTTTAGGGAAGAACCATGTGATACCTGATGACATCATCATACCATTCTTGTCAGGAACACCTGTCTTCACCTGTGACTTTATATCTTAGACGTTTCAAGTTGATTTGACTTGGAATAGTGCCCAAAAAAATGTGATTAGAAGCACTAAGAAAACCCCAGCAAAATGTCCATGAAAAATTAATTTAAAGAAAATGTCACCACGATGATACTTCAGACATATTATGAGGAAGGCATATACACACACTTGATGGCATCATCATGACATCACTAAATGTTCCAAACAGCCTGTACCCATACATCTACATGTACTTAGATAATAAAAGGTACTGCGAAAAGAATTTCAAAACTACCTTGTTTTGTTTTGTTGCAAAGAATCATACTAACGTGGGGAAACACCAGGTAGCAGTGAACCCAAGGGGGACAGGGGCCTGAGCCTCCACTGGTTTCAGAGTGTGTACTCTACAGTAAGGGATAAACTGGAGATGACATGTATGAGCTTGGATCATCATGGTTTATTCTATGACTCGACAATGATCTCCTCTTAAGACCAAGGAATACTATAAACAACTTACATAACAAAAACACCTGTACACTGATGCAATAAAGATAAGTGTGATACAAAGCTGGCTTCGCTATCAACTACCCAAATATAATATTTGCAGGTGAGAAAGCTACATGTAGCTTGTTTTCAGAGGGATGTCTCTCGAGCACGATTCAACGATGGAAAAGACCGAAACCCTTGTGTCGCCAAAATACGAATACACTCAGTGCTATATGTATGCAATTAAATATTCATGACATTGAAATGAAGATTGAGTTTGGTTACAGGTACCATAAACATTGCTCCAAAATCAACCATGACAATGTCATAATGTTGACAATCTGAACTGGCCAAACCCTCAAAGTGGCGCACAAAATGAAAACATGGTTGCAAAAAAGAATATTTCAACGACAATAGCTGTGCCTTAGTGAGGTTGGGAACAATATGTCATTCCAAAAATATTACTAATTAAGAAACATCCAGATGGACAGACAGACACACTACAACCTCCTCCAGGCTTCTTTGACTAGAGTGGTTTTGACTAAGCTAACATACTGCCCAACACCACTGGTTGAGGTCAATTCAAAGGCTCCCTCATCTCCTATCACAAAGTTCATACAGGAGACACGGTCTCTTTTTGTGATGAATGTACAATACTTGTCCTGATATAAGCCAGCAAATGGACCCACTCATTGCACTTTGCAAGTCCTAAAATTCCATGTTATCATCCACACCATCAAAGAACTCATCAGGTACACTTGTCCAACTTGGAGAAATTTCCCCATAAACTATGTCTGTAAAACTGCATTTATGAGAAGTGTCGTCTGATTGTTTCTTTGGAATACTTGCTGAGGGTAGACCAGACGCTTCACTGCCAGACGGTTTCATATTGTTACTAGAAGGCACATCAGATTTATCCGTGGAAACCAAGTCCAGATTGGGTGATAGGTTGAAGGTACCACTAATATATGACGAGGGTGGTTTCCATAAGACAAGTTCAGTGCAGACATTAGCTCTAACAAAGAAGAAAGAAGAGTAATTTTTTTTCAATCCTGAGAAGTAAAAAGTCGTTATCTAACATTTACCGACTGTTTACATGTTTGTGAAGGAATGCCAGAAGGAATTTCATTTTTTAACAGAATAAATATTCCCCTCCAAATGTCACCTAAAAAAAAATATTCTCATTGTTGCACATTATTTGTATTATACTGCCCATAGCAAAGTACATTTTCGACTGCTCAACTGGATTCCTTTTTTTTTACATCGGGGACTATCCAACCTGAGAATGAGCACTTTGAAGTATATGTACCTGTAACATTGCTACAAGAGTTATGACCAATATCAGAATGAAGATTCTGTTATAAGCAGCTATGTTGAATTTTTGCAAATTAGGCATATTTCCATAACTTGGATTTTCTCAGCCTTTTGGCATGTCATTCTGGGGATGTTGAAGGAATGCACTGCAAAAATAGAAAAAAATTGTTGCCAAATTTGCAATTTGTTCAAGGTTTACATAAAAAAATGAGGTGTGAGAGCTGGATGAAAAATGCAAAAAAGATTAGCTTACTGCGGTAAAGAAGAAAACATTCATTACAAACACGCACATTTGATACCTGAGGTATGACAACACGAAATGTAGACTTACATAGACTTGACAACAGAGTCCGGTAAGAGTGGTTCTTGTTTTTCCATGGCCATCTTGAGTTCTGGACTGACTTGAATCTGACGAGGCTTGCCATCTCTTGTATCACTGTTAGAATCATCATCATTATCCGACTCAGAATCTGACAATCTGCAGTAAAAAAAAACAAGAGACTCTTCAGCAGCACTGCTCAACACAAAGTGAAATGGCAATAAGAACATCTAAAATTCTAAAATAGACATGAAAGGTAAGGAATGAAAATGCAATGTGTTAGTATGGAAAAACAGTATGGTAAGGCCCAAAAAAACCTCGCTCTCTGGTCAGACCAAAATTCCAGAATGTGGCGATGCAGGTTTTTTATTTCTTTAAATTTTTTTGGGGGGGCGGATGGGGTTGGCTTTGTAAGACTGGCAATGGACACTGAAGTGAATGGGATATTTAATCAAAGAGCAAAGGCTAGTAGAAGCAAGTCGCATGTCATGCCGCCATTGTTGACCAGCTGGCTGCAACTTTGTAACCTACCCATGGTCTACTGTTTGTGTTTGACATCAACATTTACGCAGTCATAATGGATCTACAGCTACCCACGAATTAGTCTGGTTCCTTGAACAAATTGCCCTTCTGACTTGTGGCTGGGAATCAGTCTACTCGCGAACATTCAGGTGGTGTAGAAATAGAGGGCACTGTTTTGACAATTTAGAGGAAAAAAATGGAAAAAAAAAAACATTGACGCGCACATTAAAAATCAGTTTCCTTCACTGAGGTTGCCAAGAAGTGTCAAGTCCCATACTACTTGACTGATGTCTGTTTATTAGCAGTACAGGCTGTGGTTGATAATCGACTAGCATGAGTACATCAATACCAGCAACCCCTGTAGCGCTACACGCATGCGCTCTGTCCATTTTCAGGGTCACCCCATTGAATGAACTTAACCAATGCGTGTGCGGATAAGTGTATGTTTTCCGTGCCGTAACTGTATCACGTACATGTACGTATTGCACTGTCAAGTCGTGACGTGATATGCAAGTGGCTTGCCGTCCTTGCTTCGTCCTTAGGGGCAAATGATCAGTTATCGAATTTGCAGCCCGTGAGGATAATAATTAAGAATGAATTTGCTGGGATCGACCACAGAGGTAGAAATAAACCAGGGTAAATCAAAGCCATTGAATTAGCACAAGGAATCATAATGTACATGTACATAGGCAACACATGTGTACGTGTATTAAGTCAGCAAAATGACGACTTACAGCACAAGTCAGCATTCGCGTAGTCGTCATAATTTCTTGAGTCCTGAGAGTGCCAACCTAGCCGGAGTTTACTGTACAGGTAATTTTAATGGGCTTGATCATGTCAAGCATAAAAAAATTGAGAAGTTCTTAGACTTCCCTCACATGACATCATGCTTTGTTTACAGGTGTGCTTCAAGGGAATCATATAAAACTGTCAAAAAAAAATCTCATCCAACTCCCAGAAGAAAGCATGTGAGTATATAAAATGATGTACAGTTGACTCTTGTTAATACCGGGGCCTAATTAGGACTTACTTTATTATCTCGTATTATCGATCCGAAACCTCGTCTTTAAGGTATTTTCCCACTCATTTGTGTCGTTTGTTGATTGTACTACTCTAGAAGGGTAATAAATTAGCTTTCAAAACAGTTCGCACATTGTTCTTTGTGAAAGTGTAATGTGCATGTTGTAATAGAGTTGTTGTAATAAAATACATATTAATTGAGATGAAGCGAAAAAATTAATAAAAAGCAACAATGGGGCAAATGGACTCATCACCAATCACTGTTGAAATGATGTAACCTGCATGGGGCAGTCACGACATTGAGAGAACATACACGTAAGTATATTAACATTTCAGATGCCGACCGACTAAAGAGATGCAATTTTATACATGAACGAAGTGAAGGAAACCAGTGACTTTTGGTGGACAATAGAGGGCATGGGTTGGGGCCTGGGCAATATACTTTTAGAAGGAAATGAAAGGTTTTTTATGTTGGGTATTGAGAACTCGTAACTGTGACTTCCCAAAAGGCATTTACGGGTAAAGGAAGAACTGATTTTAATCAATTTTACGTAAGTTTATAAGTTGAGTTGGGGCATTTTTCTTATTTCTTTTTCATGTTTTTGAGGGGAGTTTTCAAGTTTGTAACAAGTTTGTTCTGACCAGGCCCTAGTCTGGTGGCATGGAAATTGCAAACACCCGTTGTTTTTGTTCTGATCGGGCAGCATGAAACTGCCCATAAAGAAAACCTTTGATTATTTGGGAAGCTAAAATGCCCCCAAACCGCAGTCGTGGATTAGCAAGCATTATTGCCACGCCTAGTACAACAGCACCTTTACTGAATGGGATCATTGATTGACAAGTTGTTTTCAAAGTACTCGTGTTAAATAGAGAGATAACAATACATCTGCATTCGACTGGACAAGAAAAAGCACTCATCTTAACCAAAATCTCGTATCATCCAAGCTCAAATTAAAGATTTTTTTCTCAAAGGAATGTACACACTTTGGTTGGGACTGGCGAAATATGCTTGTCTTAACTGGAATGTCATCTGAACTGAGCTTGTACTACCGAGAGTCAACTGTAATCACATGGGCAATTATTTTTAATGGCCAAACTTTGTACACGTGCAGTCCCAACTCCCTCCTACTTGACCACAGCTTTTTATATTGAATAAAACAGTTATTAGCGAATCACTTTGAAAAACTTTGCCTTGAGATAAGTGGTATACCTTCTTTCAATTTCTTCCAGTTGTCTCTTAGTTTTTAACTTGGCTTGCAACCATCTTTCTTGTAGGGAAGCCATAGTGTTTTCATTTGTGATACTCAGGTGGCTCATCCTGGCAGCCATTTTTTCCTCACTAATAAATTGCTTGCTTGGGGGCAAGTAACACCTATACAGGAAAACAAGAAAAGAGATGGATATTTACTTCAAGGTACAAAAAATCCCACTTCAATTCACTTTAACTACATATACATATGCATAGTACAAGGAACACCATTATTATTGTGCCAAGGTGTTTGTCAAGGTGTTTGTGCTGCTTTATATTTGCATACCCTCCTCTGACCAATTCTACATCTACATGTACATACAGAAGTGAAGGGATTTTGTGTAGAGATTTGATGGTTCAAATCATAGCAGGGTTAAGGCACAAGGTTAGTTTACCACTATATTCAGTATAACCAGTTACTGTTACTGTCATAGGCATGCAATCGTGTCATCTAAACTAGTTTTCGTTGTTGTTTATAAATAGTATCTTCTATTTGCAACAGAGCAAAATGGGGAAACTGTTATCTACATGGTCACTGTGGTTTTTTTTAGCCCACTAGCAACTTTATTAGAGCAAATTTTCCTAATGTTTTCATGGAGCAGTGCACAGTTGCTCAATTTCATTTTTACATATGCATGTACTATATACTCTGTTTTACTTGTTGTCACTGCCTGGATCTTAACGAATTGTGAACTGATGGTAAGGCACTATATTCAATATGGCAGCCATCCATCTTCTCCCATTCATTATAGGGACTTACATGTACATGTATGTGCTTACATGCTGGGAATCATCGACTGGATCCATACATCATCTCTATGGTGACGAGATCCCAGATGTATCTCCTCTGCTTCCCATTATATTACCCAGACTAACTGAACACAACACCAACCATGCTGATTGTCCTCTTTCGAGCTCCCATTAGGTTGGTGCCTTGCACATTAACCAATGCACTGTGTCATGTCAGCTGTGGTGATTTACCCTGGGTGGTGATGATCATGCAAATCCACAGTGACCACAGTGTCCAAATATACCCCTTGCAGCTATTCCTGAAGCTACTCAGAGACCATGAATACCCAATATTTCGGGCATAATCCTCAATGCAAGGAGTCCTAAAAATAAACTGAATGAGCTGATTGCTTCTGGAAACTACCGCACCCAACATTCAGGGTATTACAGAAACAAGGTTGCTGGCTGAAAAATAATTCAGGAGATCCTGTACTTCAATGGTAAGACTATGTCATATTTAGACGTGATCATAACAATGGCTGTCAAGGTGGATATATTTGGATAAGGTGTGAAGTCCTATTTTTTTCCCTCATTATGTCCATGAACACCCTGATATCTGAAATGTGTGTGGACAACACACTGCAAAAGGTTAGTGGCTATTTTGTGTTCAACATAGACTGCCCAACTCAACTACGTGTACCATATACTAGGATAAATTTTGAACAGCTTCTGATGAGATTTAACTGGCCACCTGAAACTATCAGGGAGTTATTTTTATTGGTGACTTCAATTTGACATGGCCTAATCTTGAAACAAACAAGAATAACCTTACATGCACTGTTTAGCTATAGGCTTAATTCACCTTTAACCCTAACCCCCTAGGTTGTATGTTAAATCTTTTCTTCAAATTGGAGGATTTGGGACTGTTAGGGATGAACCTACATGTACATGCCAATGTCCACGTGAACCAGCTGATGGAACCATGACTACTTTGTTCAACAACGTAATTACTTACTTGTCCTAATCCTGTGGGGATTGACCATCATGCTATTATTTTCCAAATCAAGAGCAATAAAATTCAGCCACCTACTAGATCCATATGAGACAGTTTTATCTTTTAAACAAAAATCATCAAATATCTTGAACATTTTAACACTTACATGTAGCTTTGTCTGGCCCCATGGGACATTTTACTTCTTCCAAGTGATGTGCCAACTTCATATACTTGAAGGTTCAGGCACATTGAAATGAATGAGAAGTAGTTTCAGTTTTAGAGGTGGGAGGAAAACCCCAGAGACATTTTCTGGGTAAAACCCACAGAACCAGGTTGGGACTAAAAACCCAATCCACATATGGACTGAGCCGGGATTCGAACCCAGACCACAGAGGAGAGGTGGAAAGCAAGGAAAGAACCACTGGGATGAGATTGACCAATGATCAAAATAGCTGAAAACAGCCAAAAAAAGGCATAAAGAAGCTGACCTGTGAAAATGTCCTATACTTTTGTACACAGCGAGGAAAAAAAACCTGAAATCAGCTAAAATGCTGAGAAATCTCATCCCTGGAACCACTGCTGTGACTCCCTTTTTATGAACAGTATGCTTGACATTAAGTCTTCCTGGGATGGGTTTTCTAGATTTGACACTGCAGTTTGATGCAATTCCATGCAAGCAATATCACTTGAGATGATCCAGTTTCTAGATTATAACAACCACATTACAGGTATGGCCTTTAAACATGTTAAAAACACAAGGCTTCAAGCTTGCCAAGTAAACTGGTCCTGAAGAGCATTGACACGTACACGATACAGGTGAAAAAAGATATCTCTTAATGTTTCCTATACCTGACATGCTGGCCAGCTTTTTTATTGTGAGAACAGTAACAAAAATGCTTCTTTTCTTTGTTCGTAGCCAAGCAGAAGTGACAATATTCAATTGACAAATTGATACACTTTACGATTTTCCTGACCTTGTACAGGGATTCTCCTGACAACTTATTTACCTCTCTTAACCACTACCAGCCGGGGACTCCGAAATCGGAGCCGTATGGTTTATATGTGTGGCTGGGGTCTCCGAACTCGGACA